TTGATTGTCTTTCTGTTGGCTCAGGCAAATTTTACAATCACGAACATGCAGATGAACTTGGGAAAAACCCTGAGGATCAAGGGCAAGCTGTCCAATGATGTTGATCAGTGAGTAGGGGACGAGTAAGGACTGGGGTGGGGTCTGTCCATAGATTTGGAGCAGGTGGGGGAGTGGGGAGCAGGCGGGGCAGCCATGTGAAAACTAATACGGCAGCCTTGGGATCAGACCAAGGGGGCCCCGGTGCCCTTGCTCCCTCTCATGCAAGGAAGTTGGGTTTGGGGACCCTCAGAATTTCAGAGTCAAAGCCATATACTCAGTTTCTTATTCCCCAACAGCCAATGAAGGTGAAGGAGCCTGAGCTCCCAGTAAGGTCATGTTCCTTCCCAGGATAAGCTCCCAGGATCACACCTCTTCTTGGGTTGGTTGGACAGAAGCCCACCTTTCAGGCACATTAAGCCAAGGCTAACCACCAGGCACTGACAAGTGGTCCCCTCTGCAACTTCTTTATTTTCCTTCAAACAGAGCATCCACCTTTCTCTGGAGCTTACCTGTGTGCAAAACAACCCAACTCTTGTTTGGGAAGTGGGAAACGCACAGATCCATGGAGTAGCCACCGAAGAAAAATAATCCCTTGCTTCAACTTGAGTTACTTGACATTGCAGAAATGTGGAGTGCTCTTGGCCTGAGACCTCCAAATGAAGGCACCTGATGACCCAGAATGCCTCTGCCCTCAAGGACCCCTAAGGTCTAACCCAGGTTCTTGTAGAGATGCTGCCAAGAGGTCACACAACTCTAATTGCATACCTCAAGTGACAGGGAGCTCATCTCCTTTAGTTGGAACCTATTTATAATTAAAGACTTAAGGAGTCTTCAGAGATCAAGGACAGTCATTGTGTCATTTAGAATGGACACTCCCAATCTTTTAACCTGTCAGTTCCCCTCCTGTCAATATCTTCGGTCAGTCCTCGAAATGGAAAGTGATTCATCAATACCACATCTGATTAGATTGTCCCCTTCCTTGTGTTAAGGCATAGACCTTGATTCATGCAACCTTTCTTTGGTGACTCTTGTATTCAGTGGTTAACCCAAACACCTAAACACCCATACTATGAAGTTGTTTTACCTGTAAGTGACCCCAAAACCTCACCTGTTATCCCTCATCCTACAGAGTAGCAATTAATCTGGGCCAAAGTGCTGAGAAAATGAACCTACATTTCAACCCACGCTTCAAAGAATCCTACATTGCCCTCAACTCTTTCAATGGCAGCTGGGGTGAGGAGAAACGTGTACCAATCAACTGCTTCGGCCCAGGGTCAGAGGTCACGGTAAGGTCAAAGGGGTAAAGGCCTGGGGTTGATGTCAAGGGGACAGCCCAGATGGTAGGGGACCCCAGCCTGGTCACTGTGGGAGCCCCCAAACACTGCCCTGGCTCCATTCCAGGGTAGCCCTTGTACCTTAACCCCCTCTTTGTCGCTACAGTTCCATATAACCTTCGAGACACACCAATTCAAAATAATGCTGCCTAATGACAACGTGGTGACCTTTCCGAACAGGATGGACAACTGCCAGCTGAGCTACCTGCATGTAGGGGGACATTTCCAGGTGTCTTCTTTAAAGTTTTACTGAGTAGATGTGCCAGATTAAAACACCCCAGTCCACATTCCCTACCAAGTCCTTATCATAACACCTCTGGGGTCTGGATTCTGCTTCCCGTCCCCCCTCCTCACTCCCTCCAGTTCCTGTCCCCTGACCCATTCTCCCCTAAGTGATGAGAGCAAACCAAAGAATCTGGCCTCCATCACACTTTTCTGTGGCAGGAAAGGGAGTTAGTGCTTTCTTAGTATTGTAATGCTTGTGGCATCTTCATGACAAAGGGGTAAACTGAGGTAGGACACCAGGCTGATGGATTGTAAGCTCTTAACCACCTGGAAAAAGCTGCCCTGCTTCTATTATTAGGTGCCATCATGTAGATTCGGACTCACAGCGCCCCCTATGTGTCCATGGTAGAACTGCTCCACAGGGTTTTTAAGGCTCTATAGCCTTTATGGAAGCGATGTACAGGGTTGCTATGAGTCGGAACCGACTCCATGGCACATAACCACCACCTTACATTCTGAAGCCCTTGGTTCTGGAAGGCCGTGGTCTAGAACTGGAGCTCTACCTCCACTGAGTCTTGACATACATTCAGACTCCATTAGACTTGAACCATGTGGCTATACTTAGACAAACCCAGGGAAACACTGTTTACCCACAGGTAGAGTGTGGTTGAACGTAGGTTAACTAGTATGCAGAGATGCTCACTCAAGGAACCATGGGCTTGTCTGGGCTTTTACTGAAAATAGTCTATCAGACACATTATCTACTTGAAGTTAGAGGTTTGAGTCCTGCTAACTAAGTCTGTTACAGGGTCGCTATGGGTCGGAACCGACTCGATGGCACTTAACAACAACAACAACTATGTCTCAGAATTGCACGATCATGATTCATACCCCCAACCCCTACGTAGCCAGGTAATCAAACCCCAGAACCATTCCTGTCCCTCACAATGACCCACAATGATGGACTGATCCCCATCCTGCTCCTATCCCTACCTCAGTATCATGCCCTGGACAGTGATGAATTGACTGCCATCAGTCATGAGTTAGAGTCCTGGTGTGGAGTTGTAGGTTAGGCACTGAACTTCAGCAGTTCAAATTCAGCAGCATTCCTCAGAAACCCTCTCTCTCCAGGGTCACTGTGAGTCAGAACCAACTTGATGGCACTTATCAGTAAATACAATCAAGACTTGTGATGATCCCCTTTGTCCTCTGTCATGTATAATGAACACTTACACTGTGGCTATGACTCAGTGGATTCCATTGACTCTAGAATGGGAACATGCTGAGGCTTCCTTCATCCCTGATAATGGACTTTGTCTTTGTCCTGTTGAAGACTTAATAAAAATGTCTCTGTAGAACAAGTTTGACTCTGTGTCTTTTCCTCTAGCATATCTTTTTTAAAAAAATAGTTTTCTTGTGAATATGTGATAGTTTATATGGGAGAACATTAGCTTTACAGTCATCCTTTACATTCAGGAAAACAATAAAGAACACAACGAGAAACTCAATAAAGAGATAGAAACATTAGGTAAAAAACAACCAGAAATTCCGGAGCATAACAATAAAGTAACAAAAATAAAAAATTTCATGGAAAAACACAAAAGTAGAATAAAAACAACAGAAGAAAGAGTCAGTGATACAGGAAAGAAAACTTCTGCGATTACTCCATTTGAAGAACAAATAGAAAGAGGAAAGAAAATTGAAGAGCGCATAAAGGTTCTGTGGGACGCCATCAAGAGGAACAATATACGCATAATGGGAATTCCAGAAGAAGAACAGAGGAAATAAAGTCTAGGAGAAATTTTTGAAGAAATGATGGTGAAAAACTCCCCAAATATTCTTAAAGATGAAGAGAAAAACACCAAGACACATTGTAATTAAACTTTCCAGAAACAAAGCTAAAGAAAGAATCTTGAATGCAGCATGAGATAAGCGAAATACCACCTACAAAGGGTCCCCAATAAGATTAAGTGTTGATTTCTCCCCAGAAACAGTAAGGGCAAGAAGGGAATGGGTTACACATACAGAGTCTTGAAAGAAAAGAACTGTCAACCAAGAATAAATTCCCAGAAAAATTGTCATTGAAAAATGAGGACATTCCAGATAAAGAAAAATTAAGGGGATTTGTAGCCACAAGACGAGCCCTACAAGATATATTAAGGGAGTCCTCCAGAAAAAAGATTGACTAGACTAGCCAACCACTCCTAATATTGACACTTAACAATGACCCGAATATATGTTGTTGTGTTGTTAGGTGCCATCCATTCAGTACCGACTCAAAGCGACCTTATGCACAGCAGAACGAAACACTGCCACATCCTGGGCTAACCTCACTACTGTTGCCATGCTTGAGTCCATTGATGCTGCCACTTGGCCAATCCATCTCACTAGGGATCTTCCTCTTTTTCTCTGACCCTCCACCTTACCAAACATGATATCCTTCTCCAGTGACTGGTCCCTCCTGACAATATGTCCAAAGTATGAGAGATGAAGTCTGGCCATCCTGGCCTTCAAGGAGCCCTCTGGCTACACTTCTTCCAACACAGATCTGTTGGTTCTTTTGGCAGCCCATGGCACCTTCAATATTCTTCTCCAACACCATAACTCAAAAGCATCAGTTCTTCTACAGTCTTCCTTATTTACGGTCCAGCTTTCACATGCATATGAGGCTATTGAAAATACCATACCTTGGGTCAGGGGCACCTTAGTCCTCAAGCTGACATCTTTGCCCTTCAACACTTTAAAAAGTTCTTGTGCAGCATATATGCCTAATGCAATCTGTTGTTTGATTTTTTGACTGCTGCTTCCATGAGTGTTGATAGTTGATCCAAGAAGAATGAACTCCTTGACAACTTCAATCTTTTTTCTGTTGATAAGAATGTTGTTTATTGGTCCAGTGGTGAGGATTTTTGTTTTCTTTACATTGAGATGTAAAGAAAGCTGTGCTCTTTGATCTTCATCAGTCAATATATTAAGTCCTCTTCACTTTCAGCAAGCAAGATTGTATTATCTGCATATCACATGTTATTAATGAGTCTTCCTCCAATCCTGATGCCACGTTTTTCTTCATAGAACCCAGCTTCTTGGATTATTTGCTCAGCATACAGGTTGAATATGTTTGGTGAAATAATACAACCCTGTTGTACACCTTTCTTAATTTTAAACCATTCAGTGCTCCCATGTTCTGTTTGAACAACTGCCTCTTGGTCCATGTGTACATTGATTCCTCATGAGCACAATTAAGTGTTCTGGAATACTGATACTTTGCAATGTTATCAATAACTTGTCATGAATACATACAACACCAAAATAAACTTAAAATGTGATTACAGAGACTCCAGGGTACAAAGCTGTAATTGACAGTAACATCAAAACAAAATAGACAATGATTGGTGGAGAAACAGAATGCCCACATGCCAAGAAAATTAAGGTGCTTTCAACATATAATGTTGTAAATGTAGCATGTTAAATTTGTAAACCTCATTGTAGTTGTAAAGTATGTAACTCTACTAGCCAATATAAAGAAGGGAAACCAAGACTCACTAAAATAAAAGGAGAAAGTCTGCTTAAAAATACTCAGCACTGATGATAAAAAGGAACAAAGAAGCCATCAACCTCATCAAGTCAAAACATTTATGACAAAATGAAGTAAATTCTTCTCTATTGTAATTATAGTGA